TTGAACTGCCAGCCTTCTGGTTAGCAGTCAAGTGCCTTAGGCACTTCACTACCAGAGCTCCTCTGCGTCGGAAACCCAAGGAGGGGTTGTTGCTATGAGTTGGGATCGACTCCACGGCAGTGAGTTTGGTTTACTATACGTAAGATGTGATCCCTGCTTTGAGGACCATTCTAGTTTAGAAGAGTTCTTAAACATATGCAGAAGTAACCGTAAGTCCAAGGAGATAATTCCTATGTCCTAAGTTAGATGCTAACTACAAGTTGTCCTACCAAGCAATCAAACTTAAGGGTGAAGGATTGTCAAGTAAAAATACAAATTCCTGATATTATTTTAAGATTACTTCACTGTTCTCAACTCTAGGCAATAGAATTTATTAGCATTTCAGTCAAAGGCATTGAAAAAAATATTATTAGCACAATAGGAGAAAAGTAGAAAATTCTGATTGTACAACTTCGTATTTGAACAGTATAGGCACTATTTTCAAGCAGTCATATTTTATTATGTTACAGATAAACCCAAAGCAGATACCAAAGTTGCTGTGGTGGCCAAGAAAAGGGTAAGATTATGTTTTATTATATAAAGTATCTATACTTAAGATTCTATTTCATTAATAGTATTTTTTTACAGAAAATTAAAGTAATATTTGAAAGCAAAATGACATATACCATATATGTTTATTTGCCAATCCCTCCCTTCCCCTCTCCTCCTGAAGTATTTTTATAAGAGCTGCTATGCCAATTTTTTTTTTTTGTTTGCATGTTACTGTTAAAATAAATAAATAAATTAGTGCAGCATGTTTACAAGAATAGCTCCCAGGGCAAGGGAGTGGTTGCAAACAAGTTATTTTTGTAAAAATATGGTAATCAAGTTTTCCCTTCTAAATGGTCTTCTAAACTTTTGTTAGGTGAATATATGTTTCCTTTCTTAGATTCCCACTTGTTGTTGTTGTTGTTATGTGCCGTAGAGTCGGCCCCAACTCATAGCGACCCCTCCTTGGGTTTCCGAGGCAGTATCACTACGGAAGTAGGATTGCCCAACCTTCCTTCCTAGATTCCCACTAGAAAATAATATTTACAGATACTTACATGTGTAATAGATTTGTTAGAAATTAGAGACTTAGAACATTGTAAGTTAAGAAGTAAACAATTGCTTTTGTTTAAGTTACATTTTCTGTTGTTCTTAGTAGGCATTGAGTTATTTCCAACTCATAGTGATCCCATGTGTGCAGAGTAGAATGGCTCCATAGTGTTTTCAAAGTTGTGAGCTTTTGAAAGTAGATCCCAAGCCCTGTCATTCAAGGTGCCTGTGGATGGGTTCAAAGTACTAACCTTTCAACTAGTAGTTGTGCCACCCAGGCAGCTTATTTTTCCCATACGTACTATCATGTAAAAAATACTTTCTTTTATGCCATATTACTGTAGTGTGTGGAAAATATAAATAAATAAAATTCACAGCTTAATATGGACTTCAACTTAAACTTAAGTAGAGAGCAATGTCAGCCTTTTGAACTGATTTTGTGAGCCTAGCTTCTTTTTATGAAAACTTGCAAAATCAATAGCATTTTAAAAGAGTTTTTCAAATTTAACACATCATTCTGTATATTGCATGGAGAGAAATGTTGAAAACTATAACTACTACTGTCAAAACTGTAACTAGGATAGGATGAACCTTGACATTGTATTTAAGTGACAATGTTCTTTCAGGCTGTACTGAGAAAGAGAATTGATGCTTAAAACAAATCCTTCTGGATATGTAATATATTGATGTTTCAAGAAAAAGAATTGTGATTGAAAGGAAAGCCTATACTGGGAACTTCGTTTGGTGTTGGGGGTGGGGCAGGGTAGACCCAGGAAGATTGAGTGTAACCTGGGGGAACAGAAAAGAATGTTGGGCATGGACTTAATAGATGAACAAACAACAAGTAAGTGTCCTTCCTGTATTCTGAATATGTATATTTTATGAGTTCTTTTGAAATCAGGTTTTTTTTTTTTTTTTATCCTTTTGGTTTTCTACTTGTAAAAGGAGTCTGGACTTTTTTCTGGCTAAATAATGTTGATGTTCCTTTGCCAGAAGGAATTCAATATCATACCTTTTGGTTTTCTACTTGTAAAAGGAATCTGAACTTTTCTTTGGCTAAATAATGTTGATGCTCCTCTGCCGGAAGGAATTCAATATCATAGAAGACAAGGTTGCCCTTTATAAAAGAAAGGAAATAGGACTTGTTTAAGTCTAGAGATTTGGACAGGAATATGTGAGGTAGTATAGGATTGTTCATTTGAATGGAATTGTCTATTTCAATCTCTGCTAAAAGGTATATAAAGTAAAAAATGATCAAGATGATAACTAACATTTCAAAATATTGCTTCATTTTTATCAGTGGTTCTCAACTAGGGCATTAGTATGTCATTCATAGGGGCAGACACTGCCCTTCACAGTGTGATTCATGGTCTGTGAACTGTTTACTGCTGTTCTCTGATAAGTACAGAAATTGAGAGTAAGCATTTAGAAACTTCTATAGTAATTTGACAGAATGATTTTTGTCTATGGAATGTAACAATACTGAAATGGAGCTTGCGTTTTGTGAGTCTTTTATTGTTCTAGTAACTCACTTTTATTTTATTTCATGAAAGTTTGAGTCTGAGACAGACTGAAGAGTAGGGGGATAGTCCTTTACCACAGATAGTTTGAGAGACATTGCCCTAGAGAACAGTTTAGAAATTTGTAGATGTACTTTGGGTTATGGTAATTTTGGGGAGTAAAGGGCATTTTATTGCCCCATAAAATTATCCAAGCTCTCAAGTTCCTTCTATCTTGTTTTTCAACCCCCTGATTGTGCTCACCATCTATATGGTCAGAGACTGATTGCACTATCAAATGCACATACTCACCCAAAGAAAGAAGTAAAGTGTGGAAGATGAATGTAATCCATTAGTTGAAGAGAAAAAAAAAGAGGAGAAAAAGCAACCAGGAACGTAATGCTGCACACATCACTTCCTTCACATTCCATTGGCCAAAATTTAGTAACATGGCCACATCCAGTAGCGAAGGGAAGTAAGTGGGATATATAGCTTCTAGCTGGGCAGGTTTGGAGGGAGTTTTTATTGCTAAAATAGAGAAGGGGAATGTTTTGGTTCTCTAGCATGGCTGTAACAGAAATACTGAAAGTGGATGGCTTTAACAAACAAGGAGTTATTCTCTTACAGTTTAGGAGGCTAGAAGTCCGGGTTCAAAGTGCCAGCTTTAGGGGCTGGGTGAAGGCCTCCCCTCAACTTTGGGCTTCAGCTCTGTCTCTTGCTCCTAGCCCACTGAAGCGGGAGGCTTATCTTAACTCAGGCAGTTGCTGGCTGCTGAGGCTGACAAACCCAAGGTCAACAAGTAAAATAGCACAGTCTCAAGATTATGAAGCAACATGGCAGATCACTAGTTAAACAGTCCCAAGATCAGCAGACAACATGGCAGACTGCTGAATGAAGGGTAGGCTACATGTAGGGTCCAAGTGTGCCAAAAAGCTCTGAGACCTTTCTCAAAGCTCTTTTCTTATATACCAGAAGCAGACTGCATCCCTAATGCAGCTACTCAGCTGGTCCAGTAGATTCCAACATGAAGTTGATTTCCAGTCTCATCATGGATAGTAACTACATCCAGCTGCCCAGCCACTCAAAACCCAGCCCAGCCAAGTTGACACACAACCTAAACTACCACAGGGAACATAGATACTGGGGTATAAATAGTGGTCTAAGAGTGCTGTTTGAAGACGGAAGGAGATGGTTCAAAGTCCTTTTTTTTTTTTTTTTGTAAAAGAGTCATCAGCTCAGATAGGGGTGAGAAATACTGACATAGACTATTTCATTTGACCCTTATTGTAGCAGTGATAAATAGGTGTTGCCATAATTGTTCCTACAGACTGCCACAGAGATATTAAGTGACTAACAGAAGTGCAGAGTCAGGGTAGGAATCCAGTTCTGACGGTACACAATACCACAGCTTCCTTTAGCAGTTTTTGATTGATTGTTTTCTAAATCACTTTAGTATCTCACATAGCTTTCATTTCAGACCTTTGGGAGGGTAAGAGCACAGACAGTATTACTCATCAACTTCATGTATGGTGAGAAAGTTATGGGACTTGCCCATAGCTATACAGTGCTCCTGAAGTATTTTTTACTTAATCTCAATTCATTTTCCTTAGTTCCTATTAAAGTATTGGTAAGTAGCTTCATTACAGGTTGAGTGTTAATTTCACTTATTAAGATACCTTTAGTTTTCTTATAATTTCGAATCTATAGATATGGAACAATTTTTTTAAAGACAGAACTATTTTACATAAAATATTATAGATTAACAAAAGAAAGTTTTTGGCTTGAAAGCAGAAGAATAAAAATCATGGTGCTGTATATTCAGTGCCAGGCACTTTACATATGTGATTTCATTTAACTTGAGCAAAAATTATGTACGGTATTATTATCTCTGGTTCATAAATGAAGAAAATGTGCATTGGGATGCTCCCATAGCCAAAAATACAATAAAAAGACAAATTAAGAAAAAGTAAATAATTGCCTGTATAGCCCCCAATCCTGTATTGCAATTCTTAAGTCTGTATTTTATTTGTTTATATAAACAAATATGTATATGCACATGTACATGGTTTGTGATTATTTTATTGTTTTTACCACAGTGAAATATTACTATATTACCCTATAAAGTTAACTACTTAGATTAACAGGTATAGATCTATTTTTAACCATCCACATAGTGTATCATAACAGATGTATCCATTTTAGTCAATATCTTGATGAACATGTAAGTGTTTCCAAATTGCTGTTGTGGCTTGATACTACTACAAGCAATACTTTAGTAAAACATCCTTGTACTCATATCCTTAAATACTGATGCTGTTATTTCTTTGGGATAGATTCCCAAAATGGGATCACTAGATCAATGCTGACCACAACATCACCCTGTCTCTTTTGGACCAAGAGAGGACCAGAAGGAATACATTGTTAAGCACTGAAGTTCTGGCCTGTGCTGAGTTGTACTGGCAGTTGGTGCCACCTCTTTGAACCAAATTGTAAGAATGTTTACCAACTTGGATATCATTTTTAAGGCTATCCTCAGTGCTTCTACGGTCCAGTACTAGAGATCTCTCTAGAAGCCTCTGCTACTCTTGTTCCCCCTTTCAGCTCTTCAGCTGTGTGAGAGCATGGGTACTTATTAAGATGGAGGCAAGAAGTACAATTGCATCTGCCTAACCACCTCTGCTCAATTGCAGCAGTCTGAATGAAATTGACTCTGAGCAAGCCTTGGTAAACTTTCTGAGTGCCACGTGATGAAGAGAAAAGAATAGGTGTAGCTTGTCTCCATGTCCTTTCCTACTCTTCTATTCCATGAACTACAAAATATTTACAACAGCTCAACAAGTACTTTCAGAATGTCAAAGGACATGTGCAGACCAGATTTAATATGTACAATAAATATCTGAGTCAATTGGCCCTAGAAATAAAGAATAAAACGTTAGCATACCAGGAAGACAGGCAAAGTAGCTGATGGTGTTGCCTGCTA